CACCAGCCCCTCTGGGTGGACCCAAGTCTCCCTGCTTATGGCTTCCCCAAACACCAGCCACTGAACGACTGTGGAGAGGCAGTAGGGAGATCAGGGCCTAAGTTGGGGCTACTGTGAAGCTTTATGGACCCTCCAGGACTGGTACCAGAAACCACTCAGCCCAGTGAAAAGGGTGACAGGCAAGCTGGGGTTTAGAGGTTTAGAAGTTTAGAGGTTTGGCCAGACACAGACAGAGGCCTTAATAAGCCAGTATGGTCAGATGCCTGGGGCTGGCCCCATCTCTTGAATTGGCTGGCCTCGGGCTTGAATCTGTAACTGATGATCCCCAGCTGCATGACCTTGGGCAGTATCAACTCCTAGTCTGTTTCTTTGCCTATTAAACAGGAATAATAGCTGTGTCACAGGGTCACTGATGAGGAGCTGGTGAAACAGTACCTTTAATGACCCTGGTGCAGAGGAGGGGCTCAATAAATGGCAATTTCCTTTTCCTTTTCTTCTGACACTTTCAACAGGGTATTTTACAACAACAACAACAACAAAATTTCTCATATCATTCTACAAATCATGAACCAAACTGCTATGAGCCAGGCACTGCATCAAAGGCAGTGGGGCTGGGGATGCAAAACTGAGAAAAACATGGGCTCTGTCTCCAGGAGAGTAAGACAAAAAGTCCAAGTGGCTTTTATACAAAAAGTTCAGAAAGGTTTCTAAGGCCTAGGGAGGCTTCACAGAGAGGACTTGGAGTTTTAGAAGAGGAGGAAGATTTCCACAGGGATCAAGGAGGGGAAGGAGTGGAGGTACCACCTCATACAGTAGGGGGAGGGGTGGCACAGTGAGCAGAGGTGTTGGGGTGGGAAAGGATGGGCAACTTTCAGAAATTCAGGCCCATTTGTTTGCCAGATATGGTCAAGGTGGTGGTGGGCTGTGCATTTGGCAGAAAAGAGGGAATCATGAAAGAACACTAAGCAAGAGAGGGGACCACCAGAGCTGAGGAGAGACAATAAAATGGGTCATGGGTTCTGAAACAAACAAGCTTATGGGACCCAGTTCCCTCTCCCAAGAGCACCTTCTCTGACAAGGTACATAGTATGTCCTTCAACACATCTTGTTCTGTTTAGTCCTGGATGGATGCCCTATTACGTATCTGTCAGTTTGTCATCTGGTGGCTTGGATGCTGCTGTGATGCTGAAAGCTATACCATGAGTATTTAAATAACCAGCAGGGTCACCCATGTTGGACCAGTTTCAGTGGCACTTCCATACTAAGATATTCTAAGAAGAAACACCTGGTTACGCACTTCTGAAAATTAACCAATGAAAACCCTATGAATCACAACAGGACAGGAGCTGATACAGTGCTGGAACTTGAGTCAAAATCCACAGTAGCCACAACAACAGACTTGAACGTACATTGAGTCAGACCAACTCATAGCTGATCTTACAGCGCATTTTCACAGTCTATTGATCACAGAGCAGAAGAATGCTCACCTTTCTTTTGGCAAGTGGCCGAAGGATTTGAATCACCACCGCAGTGTGGCCTTTCCACTAGCAGTGCAGCTCTCTACGAAGTACACCACTAGAGTTCCCTTGGAAGATGGTGTAGAATGGAGCAACTGAAAGGCAGCTGACAACAGGTGGGTATTATTCTCAGTTTAGAATTGGGGAAACTGAGGCTTAAAAATGTTAAGCCAGCTGTCACATGTAACACCAGAAAACATGCTAAAGACGGTGATTGCCATCACGTTGTTCTTAGGCTACAAGCCCAGGCAAGGCCTAATGTTCTGAGGGATCAGGAGGTTGTTCTGATAATGTTCTGTGGGAACTCCAAGTTTTCTCCTCCTATGATCCCAAGACAGACTTGAGTAGGATTAAGACAGACTGTAAGACATTACAAACTCAGCTACATTCTTACATGCATTCTTCACCACATCCCCTAGAGTTAAATGCTATTATCTCCATCACACAAAGAAGGGAACAGAGACTCAAAGAGAGAGAAAGTGACATACTCAAAGACACATACTCATAATGAGGAGTCTAGGCTGAGTCCAATGTCCCTGCACTCTTCCCAGCATTCCACAAAGAAGCTCTGTCAATTTCTTTCTAAGCACACTCAGAATTGGGAAAAGCTCAGTTCAAAACACAATTCTTTTCCTCAGGTAACACTCATTTAATCATTTACATTTCCCTTTGCCAGTCAACCCCAAACCCAGCCTTGTGTCTCTTGGCCTCTTGTTGGCTCCACCACAAGCCAGAAGCATCACCACTACCAGGATTGGGTGCTTTGGTGGCTTCACCTTTACCGTTTGTTTCTTGGAATGTGACATTGTATTTGCTGGTCTTAATGGTCTTTTTTTTTTTTAAGCTGGGGAGATACCAGGGCCACTATCTTGGCTTCTCTCATTAGTGTTTGGCTTCTCTCCAAGTTCTGGTGCCATTTCAACCTGCAATGCACAGAGACATGATGACATAAGAGCTGCTCTGTTGGGAAGGGGAAAACCAAGAGGCGGGATGAGTCATAATGAACAGGAGTGGGATAAGGCCCACATACCATCTTTCACTTTTATCTCAAACCAGCCACAAAGTTGGTTGTTATATATCCATTGAACAGATATGAACTCAGAGGTTCACTTAGGATCTTCCAGGAACAAAATGATAGTCTAGGTTTCAAGCCAACTTCTCTATGCTTTCCTAACAAAGGATAAGAGGTAAAATCCAATGAGGTCAGCAGATAACCAACTCTTTGACTACATTGGGCCATCACTGTATATATAAATTTAGTTTATATTTGTATGAAAACTCAACACCTCAACTCATTGCTACTGAGTTGGAGCTGCCTCAAAGCCAACCCTCCCTCAAGTTTTTCTGAGGCTGTATATGGCAGGGATTTGGCTTTGTCTTCTTCCTGAAGCCTCTGGTGAGTTCTAATCGCCAGAGAGGCACCTAGACCAACAGGGAGGACATTCCAATAAAAGAAAAGTATATTTCTACAGAATGCTTTTGTATAATGGGAATTTGTAATGTTAGTTGTTAAGTGCCGTGGAGTCATAGGAGACTTATAGCGACCCTATGAACGAAAGCCCTGGACAGTTGCGTGATTTTCATCCTTTCTCCAGGTTCATAGGATTTCCCGAGGCAAGCTATTTACAGAAGTGGATGCCACTCCTGCTTCCAAGCTTGTTTTAGCCAGGGAGCGCCACCAAACACTGTCTGCCATGGGTAACCATTATCGCATTTGACACGTCAGTGTCAGTGTTCAGCTTCACAGCGACCACGAGTTGCCTCTGAATATGCATAAGTATAAATGGATGCTCTTGGGTTTTTTCGTGTGTTTTTTTTTTTTAAAAGAACAAATTATCCCGGTATGCAGTGAAAAGTCAGCAGCTGTAATAGTCTATGATTCAATGCATAAAATATGTTGAGTTCCTCAGCTGAATAAGTAGTATAAACAAATAAAGCATTTTTTTCTTCCTCCCCTCTTTTTTTTTTTTTAAGATACTGGGAGAGTGTTGTCTGGTCTGAGATATCTTTGTAGTCCTCCGCCAACGTTCATCTGAAGATAAGAAAACACCCTTAAAAAAAAAAATTAAAGGGCCCAATGCCCTCACTTTTATAGAAAAACTTTGACAAAACGTTTGAGGATGTGTGGAGACAAAGGCGAGGCAAATACAGAAGTTGCCCCCACTGATCCAATCTCCAGAGCAATTACAGCCTAGGGCGACGGGTGAAATCCCCCCCAGGAGAGGGGCAGAAACCGCAGAATGTTCCTGACTCGGAACCCAGCCCCGTGGCGCAATGTTTATGTTTGTGTACCTTGCACATCGGTGTTGCCTCAAGCTCAGGGTCCGCCTTTATGATTCTGGGTGCGGTAACGGCAAAGGTCTCCCCTAGTGTCAGGGTGGGGTGGGGCCCAGTTCTGAAGCGTCTAAGGATTGGATTTCAAGTTCAGCCCTTACCGATGTCGAGGACTCGAGTGCGGGAAGTCCAACCGCTTCTCTTCTTCTCTACAGGGACCCCCCTCCCCAATTCCTGAGCCCAAACTAGCCCGTTTGTGCCTTGAGTGAGCTAGACGAGAAAAGTGGAAAGTGCCTGTCGGCCTCTGGGGGCGCTGTTGGGCCGCGCTAGGTATCACCCCACTATGGACATCAAACCCTGAAATCCACTTGGCGCTCTTGCGGCCCCAGGTTGATTCCAGTCCCTTGTCCAGGCTTCTCTGCCCCGAAGTGTTCTAGCCACCACATGACTAAGAGTAACAATTTTGGTGGCTTAAAGAGAGTGCTCTTTTACTTGTTAAATAAATGTCAATTTATAAAAAGTAGTTGGGTTAAAAAGGCCCCAAAGATAAGGAAACTATTTCCCTGATCTCCTGCACCCCGCCTCACACTCTGACCATTCCGGGTGACAACATTTCAGTAAACAAAGGTGGCTTCCTTTTCCCCCCCCCCCCCCCCCCCCCTTCTCAGATGCCTCTGCCCACCCGCCTCCTCAGGTTTCATGAATTCCTCGCAATGTGAGGCTGGAAAAGCAAATTTATTTTCCTTTGACCTCAGTCTTCCTGCTGTGAGTGACGGGAAAATGAGAGAAACGGGCACAAATGTGTGCACAGGCTCAGTCAGCCCCTTTGTCCTCTCTCGGGTGGCGCGGAAGGGCAGGAAAGAGAGCAGAGGGTGGAGGCACTCTGCCCGCTGTCCTGGCCGCTGCCTAGGGGATGTCGGCTCGAGGCTGGCAGCGCGCCCTCCTCGCTCTGCTGTGCCCGGAGAGCCGCGCGGGCCAGGTCCCCGAGGACGCGCCGGGCGGCTGGCGGGCTGGGGGCCGCTCAAGCCAGCGCGCCGCGAGCGGACTCTGCTCCGAGGCCGATGACGTCTTTTGCCTCTGGTTCTCCTGGCGCCGGGTCGGGCTGGGTGGTGACGTCACCACAGACCACGTGACCACCATTCAAACAAACAATTCCCCTCCCCCAGCGGCGCCCAGCCCAGCCCCGCCTTCAAGGCGAAGACTCATATAAGCCCGCTCCCTAGGGCTCAGCTCGCTGAGAAGGACGCTGAGCTGGAGTTTCCACGCGGGCTAGAGGGGCAGAAGGGACAGCTGCAGAAAGCTGAGACAGCTAGGAGTTCCGCCTCACGCCCCTCTGTTCTGTACAAAAGTCGTTCTTGGTTTGAGGCGAACAGACCCCGGATCCCCCGGATCGCGCTTTTCCTCGAAAGCCGCCTGTCCGCCTTTGGTTTCCGAAAACAAAGCATCGAAGCAGTGTGCACACTGGGGGCGCTGGGTCAGGCCATGGTCATGGAAGTGGGCTCCCTGGACGCTGGAAGCCTGCGGACGCTGCTGCGGGAGCGCGCGGCGCACTGCCTGCTGCTCGACTGCCGCTCCTTCTTTGCTTTCAACGCCGGCCACATCGCGGGCTCTGTCAACGTGCGCTTCAGCACCATCGTGCGGCGCCGCGCCAAGGGCGCCATGAGCTTGGAGCACATCGTTCCCAACTCGGAGCTGCGCGGCCGCCTGCTGACGGGCGCCTACCACGCCGTGGTGCTGCTGGACGAGCGCAGCGCCTCGCTGGACTGCGCCAAGCGCGACGGCACCCTGGCTCTGGCCGCTGGCGCGCTCTGCCGGGAGGCTCGGGCCACACAAGTCTTCTTCCTCAAAGGTAAGCCTCCGGGGATGCTCGAGACCGGCTTGCAAAGGCATTGCGGGGGACCCTTGGCCCCCTGCTTCTGGGGAGGCGGCTCTACTTTGAGCGCATGGGCGCTAGAATCATCCCTCTCGGGACTTGTCATTGGCTTTGTTGGGCTCTAGGAAGGAACAAAGACTTTGGCTTCTCCCCATGTAAACTTCCAGCCCGGGTGGGTGGAAGTGTTGTATGAAGGTGTCCTCTCCAGAAGAACTAATGAGGAAAAAAATTGTCTTTGCATTCCCAGGAGGATATGAAGCTTTTTCGGCTTCCTGCCCGGAGCTGTGCAGCAAACAATCGACCCCCATGGGGCTTAGCCTCCCTCTGAGTACTCACGTCCCTGACAGCGCCGACTCAGGATGTAGTTCCTGCAGCACCCCACTCTATGATCAGGTTAGTTGGGGCCTGTGCCAGAGGGGAAAAGTGACAATTGGCAAAGACTTGAAAGGGCAGTGCCAGTAAGAATATACAAGGGAGCCTCTATTTATTTACAATTTAAGGGATACAGGAATAGAACTTGGTTCACCACCACCACAATCCCTGGCACTGTAAAATTGACCTGTAAGCCCTACTGTGTGGAACCAAATGAGTCTTGTCTCCTGTTGATGGATTCTCCAACAGCATTGAGAAGTTCACTTGAATTTGACGTGAAGTTTTCTAGCAGGGAGACTGAAGGGGAGATGTGGGCACTGTTAACTTTGGGCATGCTTGACGAATGTTGGATTTTCCTGTGTTTCAGGGTGGCCCCGTGGAGATCTTACCCTTCCTGTACCTGGGCAGTGCCTATCACGCTTCTCGCAAAGACATGCTGGATGCCCTGGGCATCACCGCCTTGATCAACGTTTCAGCCAATTGCCCCAACCATTTTGAAGGGCATTACCAGTATAAGAGCATCCCTGTGGAGGACAACCACAAGGCAGACATCAGCTCCTGGTTCAATGAGGCAATTGACTTCATAGGTAAATGAAAACATACCTCCACCTCTCCCCCATTTCTGTCACTCAACAAGGACTTGAGTGTGATTTTTGAGCAGGCTCCAATCTGGTGTGGAAATTAACCCTCTAAATTTTACAAATTAGCAAATGGGCTCAGAACTGAATTGACTTGTCTGAGATCAGTCAGCCTAGTGGAGATGCTGGGCCTGGGGTGAAATCCCTTACTATTCTTTGTACAGCACTAGCATTGCTTACAAGAATGGTCTCTGGTGCCATGCAAGAACATTGAGCACCTCTGGACCAGTAACATAAGATTTATAGGCACTTCTATAAAACTTCTGGGTTGGGTTTGTTCTTGTAAGCTCTCAAATGACAAACTGCTCTTTTGTTTGCCAGATTCCATCAAGAATGCTGGAGGAAGGGTATTTGTCCACTGCCAGGCAGGCATATCCCGCTCAGCCACCATCTGCCTTGCTTACCTCATGAGGACTAACCGAGTCAAGCTGGACGAGGCCTTTGAATTTGTGAAGCAAAGGAGAAGCATCATCTCTCCTAACTTCAGCTTTATGGGCCAGCTGCTGCAGTTTGAGTCCCAGGTCCTGGCCCCCCACTGCTCAGCTGAGGCTGGGAGTCCCGCCATGGCTGTGCTGGACCGAGGCACCTCCACTACCACTGTCTTCAACTTCCCTGTCTCCATCCCCGTTCACTCCACGAACAGTGCATTGAGCTACCTTCAGAGCCCCATCACGACCTCTCCCAGCTGCTGAGGCACCACGGGAGGTGATCTGAACTTCACAACTTACCAGGACTCCAGGCTCCTTGGCAGGAGAAATGCAATAACTCTGGGGCAGGGGACTCTTGAGCTGGTCCTTATTTATTTAATTTCACCTGACTTCCACTGGGTTCCTCAACAGTCATAGTGAATGACTTCAAAGTCTAGACGATTGCTGAACTCAGCACATTTGGGGCCAATTTACAGTGGGTACATCAAGTCCCTCTGACAAAAAGGGGCAGAAGGGAAAGGACTCTGTATGAGCCAGTTTCTTTTTGCTTGCCCCCATTTTTTGTAGAAACTTCATGCTTGACATACCTACCAGTATTACCATTCCCGACAACACATACATACACATGAGAAATATACCTTATTTATTTTTGTGTAGGTGGGCTGCCTTCACAAATGTCATTGTCTACTCCCAGAAAAGCCAAATACCTCAATTTTTGTGTTTAAGTACTGTAATGTCCTGTAAATAGATCCTAAGCAGGTTTGTTTCCAGCACTGATAGGAAACATCAGTGTTGCTCTGTTTTGTGTTTTTTAAGTTGCCAACAGTTGTATGTTTGCTGATTATTTATGACCTGAAATAATATATTTCTTCTTCTAAGAAGACATTTTATTACATAAGGATGACCTTTTTTATACAACAGAATAAATTATAGTATTTCTATTGAAATCGCATGCTTTATTTCTTTGGCAAGTTTCTGTCCTGCTCCTCAACCCTGAGTGAAATGGGAGAATTTGGTCAAAAAGCTAAAACATTTGTGCTTTGGGATTTGATCCCATCCCTTTTGACTCCTCGGTCCCTAAGATGGCTGGATTACAAGGGAGACAGGGAAGTGTTACCTGTCATGAAACACACTGTAGCTTAACTTTTAGTTCAAAACAGTGTAACTTCTGGGTGACCCAGAGAGTCGAGTCCAGCTGTCCCCAGAACTGAGGTTAGGAAGAAAAGGCTTTATACCTTGATTGCGTTTTTAATTTCATACTTTCCTCAAGATTGTAGGGAAAGTCTTAATCTTCGGAGCTCTGCTGGATGAAAAGTTTATAAGGATGATAAGGTTTTCCAAAACACTTCACATAAATGAGTCCAGCTAAGCTATGTGCATATTTTGGTGTTAAGTGCCATCAGAGTTGTAGGTGACTCATAGCAACTCTATGAAAGAAAGTCCTGGACCACCTATATAACTCCTTTCTCCAGGTTCATAGGGTTTTCAGAGGCAAGCTATTATGGAAGTGGATGCCACTCCTGCTTTCAGCTTGTTTTTAATTGAGGAGCACCACCAAACACTGTCCACCATGGGTAACCATTCTTGCATTTGACATCAGTGTCACAGTGTTCTGCTTCACAGCAACCACGAGTCACCTCTGTGTAGCAAGTGTACATACCAGGGTTACACGACCTGGAAGCTATGTGCATAACATGTATTTAAAACCAACTACAGGAACCTTTTGCAAATAAGATGCTGAGGCTTAATGTAGCTAAGTGACAGGTGGGGAATTGAACCTTCGATCTGCTTTGCTTCCAAATTCTATGTGCTTAACATTTAATGACTTGCTTCTCTCACATTCTCCTTTTTGCTTTCAGAAAGATCTTTTATGAAAAAGCACACTGAATGTGAGAAAACGCAAGCACTACATTGTTAGATGCCATTGAGTCAACTATGACTTAGCGACCTGATGAACCGTAGATCGGAACCTTGTCCTACCCTGGTGCCATCCTCACTATCTATGGTATACTCAAGCCCTTTTCAGTCTTGTTCAGGGTATTGCTCTCTTTCTCTGACCTTCCACCTTTCCCAGCATGTCTTTTGCCAAGGACTGGGCCCTCTTGACAAGCACAAACACACAGTAGAGACAGACCATCATTCTCTGCCACCAATGTGGTTTGTACATCTCTTGTCAACATCTCAGAGTATGCTCATTGCATACTCAGTGTCTTCTCTAGGCCTCTTGCCATTTTGATTTCCTAATTTTTTTCAAGATAGAGGCAATTAAATTTGACTTGTCTAAGGCAGTATTCTGATTATTTTTTTTTCACTCTTGCTGAACATGCTAAAGTACAGAAAGTATCAACTAGCTTGGTAGCTAGTCCTTAAGTGGCGAGTTAAATAACAGTGGGGCTCTTGGGTTACTGGTTCCTTAGCTGTGGCTCCAACTTGATTATTTCTGCAAAGAGTGCTGTAGAAAGCAGAAAAGGAAAGATCCCACTTGACCTATCCTGGGGTGCCCTGTCCAGTAGTCCTGGCCCAGTACCATTATTGGAGGACTTGACACAGAATCCATGTCCTTGACCTTTTTCTGCTGGTTCACGATCTGCCACCTGACTCTCCGGGACTAAAATATCCCTGTGTTATAAATTCTAAGAACTTATTCAGAGCTGGTAAGTTAGCTTCCTCTGTCGGTTTCCGATTGCAAGTATGTTCATGCCTTTCAAAACAAAAGTGTACTCAATGTTTTTATCAAACCCTAGAAATTTACTATTGCAAAAAGCAACTGGTGGAAATGTACCAGCAACTTCGAGTCTGTGGCAGATGCCATGACTGACTTCTCCATGGGCTCTGGCCATCACTTTCTGCTTGGCAGGCACTGGCTGAACCAAAATGGATATCCACTGTGATCCACACAGTGGAAAAATACAGTGGCTGCCTGAGGGAGCAGCCAGTGAAAACAATTCTCTCACTTCTCCCAGTGCAAAGCAAATCCACCTCCTGCCAACTTCAGAGCCAGGGTTATAAATCCTTCTTTAAGATCGAATTCATGAGGTAGGTTCTTCTGAAATGTCATATTTGGTCTGAGGCTGCTTATCTTAAAATAATTACAACAGCACCATGTAGTGCTTGAACTACATCCAAATATGTGCTTTTCAGTGGGAGATTGAAATAGAGACAACTACTATTTAATAATAATAATAATAATGTCATAATAGTCATGTACCAGTCACATTTAATCCTGGACAGCAACCCTGAGGGACTAGTTACTAATCTCATTTTTACAGAGGAGAAAATAGAGGCTCAGAAAGGTAAAGTGACAAGCCAAAGAGCACACAGTGAATAACACTGCAGATACTGAAATCCAGGCTTGAAAGAAGACTAGAGACTGAAGTCTTGATTCAGTTTGGAAGACGGTTTGAAGAAGTGATAAAAGGAGGAACTTTGAAGCCAACTAGACTTTGCCATGGCTTTACCATACAATTTTTGGGTAGAAAAGTTATTTATCCTATTTGTACTTCAGTTTCTTAATTTGTAATATGAAAATAATAAAATTAGTAAATTTGCAATGATAAGGAGTCCAGAATGCTAAAGAGCAGTGATATCAATCTAGAGACTAAGATGAACCTGATTCAAGCCATGGTCTTTGCAATTACTTGCTACACATCAGAGAGCTGGACAATGCCTAGGTATGACAGAAGGAAAAGTGATGCCTTTGAGTGTGGTACTGGAAAAGAGTATTGAACATACCAAGGACTGCCAAGACAACAAACAGGTTTGTCCTGGAGAGAGTGAGACTGAGTTGTTCCTTGGAGGCAAGGATTTTGAGGTTCCATCTCATATACTTCGGGCATATTGCTAGAAGGGACCAGTCCTTGGAGAAGGACATCATGCTTGGAAGGATGGAGGGACAGAGCAAGAAGGGAAGATCCTGGAGATGGATTGACACAGCAACAGGAGCAATGGGTATAGGTATGTCGGAGACAGTGAGATTGGCTCAGGATAGGGTCGCTATGAGTCTCAGGTAACTGAATGGCACATAACCACAATGGTGCCTGGCAGTTTATGCAATCTTGGCAGTGTTGGGATACCAAATATGCAAAGCTTACTTGTGCTTCCTTACAAGCACTTGCAAACCCATACTTACTTTACTTATTGAATAACCTAGTTTCAATCCTGGAAATATATTTAGATTTCCTATTGTAGTGGGTTGCAAATACCCAAAAGTTTGGTGGTTGGAATTCACCAGTGCTCCACATTCAAAGAGAGCAGTCTTCTCCCATAAAGACTTAAAGCTGGTGGCTATTAGTTCAAATGTACTAGACGGGAGAGTGGAGTTTCTAATAAAATGACCTTGGCAATTCCCAGCCTTCCGTTTCCCCACTGGTTTGAATTAAATCTAACAGGTACATTTTCTCTCAGCTCTCTAACTCTGGTGGCTGTTCTGTGCCTTTGAGAACTCTAGCAATGGTTGTGGGCATTTGAAAAAAAAAGGGGGAAAAATTATCTATTAAGTCAATCATAATTCATTGGGATCTGATGGGACAGACGAGAACTGCTCTATAAGGTTTCTTTCCAATGGCATGTGTGCGTAATGTGTGGGGCTACTACACAGGGAGTTCAGAGGAATCAAGACAGGCAGTTTCCTTTCCCCTAAAGATTTACAGCCTCCAAAGCCAATTAGGGTGCAGAGGGAAGAGGGAGTGTGTAAAATCGAGTTGATGACAGTGGGTTTAATCTTTACTGGAGCAGATTGCCAAATCTTGTCTCCTATGGAGCCGCTAGTGAGTTCGAACTGCTGATTACCAGGTTAGCAGCCAAGAGCTAGTTTATTGCACCACTTAGCCTCCTTTCTCTAACTCCTTAAGGTAGAAAAAAAATACATCAGTATATACTTCATGCTTTTCTGTGGTTTGCAGGCACCCATTATTTCATTAGGATGCTTTCCAAACCCAAAGGCATCCACCCCATCCTCCCCTTTCCTAAGAATTTTGCAAATCGTAGCTCCTTTGCTCGCGGTACGCAGCCTCCTGCGTTCTTTTCCCTCCGGCACCTAACAGCAACAACAAGCCGGCCCATCCAAGGATGACCTCATGCTGTATATACCTTTAAGATTATATAAATCTGTGATCATCCTGCTTCTGTCGCTATGGTAACGCGGAGGAGTTTCCCTTTTGTGAGGAAAGCTGTCATGTCACTTCCTGCTGCTGACAAATCAGTTTAAGAGATTAAACCAGGGGGGTGGGGGCGGCCTCTGAGAAGTGCTGGCCGTGGTGGTTTTCGGTTGCTATACACAGAGGCAAACAACGCCGGCCCCGCCCCGCGAGCCTGGAGCTCTGGTTTCCCACACCTCACCCGGGCCGCCCCGCGCCGACCCAGGTCACCCCAGGACTGTTTTCCTCGGCAGGTTGTAGTTTGGAGAGCAGGTGGTAGGGCTGGCTGCCCACCTCCTGGGACTTTCCTGGGGTTCTACAGGCAAGCCTGTTCCACAGCCTCTGAACACAGATCTGACACTGCTTCCCTTTAACAGCGCAGGGCGCGCCCTGCCCGCGTCCTCCAGAGAACAAAGACTTTGCACGCTGCTAAAACCACCGTAGTCGAAATTGCGCCGCTAAGGAAAACCCCTCAAAACACAATCTTTTGGCTATAACTTTTAAAGCTAAGTACCAGGTTCATTCATTCATTGATTATGCCGTTGAATTGAACAACATTTCCTAGTCCCTATAGGCCCAGATCATTTCTACTCTCAAATAAAAATCGGGGAAGTAGGGATGAGGGAAGGGAGAAAATACATAAATACCTAATTAAAGGCGAAACACAAAAGCTATGAAAGTGGATTAAAAAGGCAGCCTTCTGTGGTCTAAGGAAAACCCCAGTGAAATGGGTTGACACAGTAATCACAATAATGAATGCAACATCCCAAAGATCAAGTTCTGAAGATGGCACAGCACTAGGCAATATTTTGT